ACGCCCGCTTGAGTATCTTCGCTTGGTAGAAATGGGTCACCAGGTTCCTCCAATTCACCTCCCAGGTCCATATCTTCCTGTCGTCATCCCAACAAAACGTTCCCTTTACGGTCACCGACACACCAGTCAAATGATTCTTCCCAATGTTGACCCAGGGCGGCGCCTGTCGTAGTCGCTCCTCTGGTAAGCTACCCGCACGCCTAAGCTCATCGACGCTCTTCATCTCTCCCAGTGGCCCAAGTGTCTCCGACGACACAAGAACTGCGCGCTTCCGATCAGCAGTGATGCTATCGAACGAAAAGATGATCCTAGATCGCGGGATAGGGTCGCCAGGCCACTTCAGTGTACCTGTTGCGGGATCGCGACGAGGAAGCGCAAGGAATATTGTGATATCCGGAAGATAGGTGGACATGAAATGGCGTTCAACATAGTCCTTGAAGTGCGAAGAGACTAGACGCACGCTGCCCCAGAGATGGGAAGCATCGCGGTGGTCGGCGTGTTCCAAGATCTGCAACCAAAGCTCTGTAGGTAGTGCGGGGGGTGTTGATCGAAAGTCGCTGATGCTTTGATTCATATGAAGTGAATTTTTCATGAGTTGTAGAGTCGAAAGAAGCGTCACCAGATGTGATGTTTCCAACAGGCTTCCTGCGTCTATCGATATAAGTTGGGCGATCTATGAGTCATCGTTGGTGGCCTATCCGATGATGCGGCCGACTCAGCGAATGCATACGCCACCCCAAGGCTCTTGTTATACTCTACGCAGAGTAGAATAAGCCTTTGACTCAGAATTGGTTCAGGTCTTTGTTATCGCTAGTCACCGAAGGTGTACTTTGGTATGCGGAATAGTTGCGATAGCTTCGAGGTCCCCTTATATGCTGGCCTCGCAATGAATTATGTATTCGTAGCACACCACAGTATCACTGATTAAAGTCATACTCGTTCCAGACAATTGTTCTTCATCAACTGTTACTTCATCGGTCATGGAAAGCATCAGGTTCGCTTGGTGTTGTTACAACCAAGCCTTAGTGGGGGCGAGAGCATCTTGGGATGACGTCGCCGATGTTACAAGATGCCGTGTTGCGGCATGTTCGTGCCTGATCGTCGCATGGTGTCCTGAGACATCCAGGTTTCGACACCTTCAATGCATTCATGCGTAAGTAATCAAGTGCCAGACTGCTTGCGACACAAGATCTAACAGAAGAGCAGGCGAGGTAACATGAACAAGCAGAAATACAATAGAATAGTTTTACATTTCATCAATACTAAGTAGGCGCCAGAGAAGGAAATAGCGCCCTCAGAACCAGTCCAATGAAGCGCTTCGCTTCAACCTCCGTAGAGTGACCTTCCGTGCCCCTCTAGGGAACAGAAGTACGATCTATCTTGTAATTGTCGTCAAAGAGGAAAGTACCATTATAGCGTCCACTGCTTCAAACCTCAAACCTTGTCAACCCCAAACCTTGCCGTCAATCTCTCGATCTTCATGAAGTGCCTAGGCGACGAAGTCACGTGCGGCGAAGCTGCGGCGGTTGAAGCGTCCGCGTCCACGTCCACGACCGAAGCCGCCGAAGCCGCCCTGTCCTTGCTGGCCGCCTTGACCGCCCTGCTGGCCTCCTTGCTGGCCTCCTTGTTGACCGCCCTGCTGTCCACCTTGCTGGCCGCCCTGCTGGCCGCCCTGCTGGCCGCCCTGCTGTCCTCCCTGTTGACCACCTTGCTGACCGTTGTTCTGACCGTTGTTCTGACCGTTGTTCTGACCGTTGTTCTGACCATTGTTGCCGCCGTTGTTGCCACCGTTGTTGCCGCCACCGCCGCCACCGCCAACAGTGAACCTCACACAGTCATCCTGGGGACCACGTTGAGCGACAGGCATGACAACAGGCTGATGGTTGGAGGCAGAGGTGATAGAGCAAGCACGGTAGTTACCGGCAGGGAGACCAGCCTCGAGCGTGGCAGTGAGAAGACCATTGCCGTCACCAGCGTCGTTGATACCCTTGAAGAAAGCAAAGTTCTGAGCATCAGGAGGATTGTTGGCGTCGTTACCCATGTCCTGGACGGAGATATGGGTGTGGCCAATGACGTTGCCTCCCTGAAGCGTCTGCGGGGCAGCGTAGTAGGTGTTGTCAGGGTTGGTGAAAGAACCGGCCTCCAAGTTGGTGATCTTCACGGAGAAGTCAATCTTCTGGTTTTCCTGGATGCCTTGTTCGTTGTTCTGGGGGCTGGTGAAGACCGCAGAGATCATGTTACCAACGGCAGGAATATCTCCCATGACTATCTGAAAGTTAGCACCTATCTTCTGAAGCAGGCTTGACTGGCTGAAGCTTACCGATACCGTTGCAGGATCCCTCCTTGACCTGGAGACCGTTGGTGAGGGTCTTGCCCTGGCAGAAGTTGATGAAGTTGGCTTGGTCACTGGTCAAGTTAGCAAGGGATCTGTACAAAGACGTGCGTGCCAACATACGTGAGGGAAGCGGCTTGTCCATCTTCCTGGCCCTGGTCGAATCCATCGGACTGACTGGCGGTTTGAACAACATCAGGGTTGAGGGCCAGGTTACCACCACCACCGCCGTTGTTGCCTCCGTTGTTACCACCGTTGTTGCCGCCGTTGTTCTGACCGTTGTTCTGACCGTTGTTGCCTCCGTTCTGGCCGTTGTTTTGTCCGTTGTTGCCGCCGTTCTGACCGTTGTTCTGACCGTTGTTTCCACCTTGGCCGCCAAATTGGGCGTTGGCAACACCGGCTGCAAGCAGCATAGGGATGAGGGTTGAGAAGCGCATGATGATAGCTTCAGGAAAAGAAGTTAAGATTGATAAAAGAGTGGAGTCCGGCTAGCGGTGGATTACAAAAAAGGCAGATACGTTCAACGTAATCTGAATGAAGAATTAAGAGGAAGAGAAAGGAATGTAACCCTCAACTGCAGAACCGGAGTTTGTAATGGAACAAGCGACTGATGATGGTGAGGAAAGCAAGATATCTGAGGAATCGCATTGCCTTAAGTCCTTGGCGAGCGAATACAAGGCAAAGAGCAACCTGGTAAGGCGGCTCGTGGTTCCTCGGGCATGAAACCCACGATGAAGGCAGAGACGTCTCAAACCCACCCATACCGACATCGATAACGTCGCGCACGGGGCGCTGGCATCAACTGGCGCCCTGCCACTGACTGAGGCTGGCATGGCAGCCTCTCCGGAACGAGAATGCGCCAGGCATTGAAGAGGAGGTCCGAGAAACGGTTCGTGTAAGAGGTGTGCAAGAACCCCAATGGCGCTAACCCAAACGAGCTGCGCTAGCCGCCTTTCAGGCTCGAGCCAGGCATCTTCTAAATTTTGAGGAGGACACGCTCAAACTCCTATGATGCCTTCCCATGCGCCATAACAGCAACCGAATGCACGGCAGGACTGTGTGACTGACTTCCGATATCCGTTCGTCACCACCGCAACGCCAGCGGGGAAATTTGGTTTACTCGCTGCGGCCCACTTTGCGACCCACGCCTCCTCCATGAGCCTCACTGAGTTGTCGGAAGCGATGTGCGACGTACTCGAGCAAGGTTGGTTCGTGCTGTCATTGTCTCGATTTGACGGATTTGACAGGTGACAGTTGAAGGACCACGGAGTAGCAAGTCCGCATCCTGCATCTGCAGGCACTCTGTTGGATGCCAGAGGTAATCGATTATCTCTGCGACAACATGCGATGGCGGCAATTCTTAATCCGAGATCGATAAAGATCGATGTTTGCTGTTTGGGATGTTGCCGTGCCAAGTTGTCACGCCCACTCACCAACTCCACTGTGGACGCGGCGCCCAGACAACATGGCGACGTACCGACGTACTTCTCCACCATTAACAAGAGTGTGTATACCCATTCTCGAAGATCTGCACGCTGCTCCATCGAATCTGCAAGCGATGATGCTGCGCTTGACCCACACTCAATAACCGTGCTCGCGGCAAAAGGAACTGAGACACCTCCTGTCAAACCCCGCTACACGTTCGCTCCTTCAACGTCGTGAAGGATTACGGAATCAGGGTTGCCGTATATGGCTTGGTGTCCACGGGTCGCTCGGCTTGCCTGAGGCAGGAGGTGTCTTCAGGCACGGAGGATCTACATCTGTAACCAACACCCGCAGAAACTCCTCAGGTTCCAGTCTCTGTGACGCAAATCCTCGAGGTTGGGATTCTCTGATTAACAATCTCAAGCAGGCTTACGTGCATTCTCTTCTTCGGATCTATCTCTTCCATGAATTGTACCGCGCCATCTTCGAGGAGTTGTCGGGACACCCTTCGGTCCTACTTCATCTCAACTGTCACAAGGAGGCTTACGAGCGGCGATTACACATACGCGTTCTTTTTAATGTACCAACTTCGATACCCTCAGATGCTCAACTCTCGACGACAATCATCACGACCGCCAACGCACAGCTCCATGACGATCATGAGAACCCGAAATGCTCTCTGAGACAGACAGTACTGCTCTTCATTCCAGATGATCAGCTACCCCACTATCGTCCGTACTGTGTGGCCTTCAGCGAAGAAGTACGAGGCAGTCGGGATCTCCTCTACGTTGACAAGTCCGGGCAGGTCAACGGGCGCGACTGCACATATGTGTCCTGTCGGAACCATCGTCTTCCATACTTCCATACAGTCAACCCCCAGGCTCTACCACAATCATTACGATCGCCAATCCACAGCTCGACGGTGATGATGATCAGTCATCCCACCATCGGCTGTGCCGCGCAGCCTTCGACGAGGGACTACAATGGAACCGGGGCTTTCCTCATGTTAACAAGATTAAGCAGGTCTACAGGTATCGATTGTACATACGCCTTCTTTCGGGTCTGTGGTCTTCCATACTCATAACGATCCATTGGTGCGCGATGTCGTACACTCTCTGCCACCCAACTCATTTACTATTGCTGCGATGACTATGCCATACGGGTCACCCTCAACCTCTGCAACGCCTATGATGACCGCACGGGAACCTACTCTCGAACGAGAACCATCGCAAATACGAAAGACTTAGACAGTCAACCGCCCCTCCATGACCTGTACTGCTTTGCCTTCCAAGAACAGCTGCGCAACACTCTTGTCCTCGTTCATCTCGACCTCGATGAAGATCTCGCTTCGTCTCCCCATCTCTACGCCCTGAACGATCTCGTACTTGAACGTCTTGGATGCTTCTCCCGCTGTCTGCGACAGATATGCGGCCAAATCGCTGGCGGCGCTACCGGTAGCCGGATCTTCCAACGGACCCTCGATCATCCTCGTCCTTAGCTTCGTTACGCCATGGTCGCTCGTTCCCGCCCGAACAAAGAAATATGTCCCAATGAACGTCTCGTCCCAGCCCTGATCCAGGCCCTCGACGGAGAGAGACTGGCCAGCTAGCGATACCATGCTCAGTGCCTCTTCAGATTCCAGTTCGACCAGAACAAATGTCATGCCTTTGACTATCGAGACGATGGCATGTTCATCTTTGACTTTAACTTTGCCTTGCCGATGGGCTTCAGCCAATTGCGGCTGGAGAGCGAACAAACTGTCCTTGGTGTAGCTCTTATTGTGGATATGACTGCACTGGTTAGCTTAGATGTATACACACCTGCAGCACCTCAGGTCGCCGAATCGCTCTCAGACCGTGGGTCTGGAACAACCCGAACTAACCATCGTGATGCAGACGCTCTAGGCAGGCCGAAGGAGGACAATGTCAAATGCAGGAACATACACGTCATGAGGGATCGAAGCCTTCGCCGTCTTCTTGCCGCAATCGTACCGCAGCCCGACCCTCCCAGCTTTCAGGTTGAAGCTCGCTTCCATGACACCGCTGCTGACGCCACGCTCCCGAGCCGTCCTTCCCAAGACATAGCAGGCCGTGCCCACGGTAGGGTGTCCGGCGAACGGCAGTTCTCGCGAGGTCATGAAGATGTCGACGGTCCATTGGTCCTCTGCCGCACCATCCGCGTGCTCGTGCAAGAAGGTCGTCTCCGATAGGTTGAACTCTCGCGCGATTGTTTGCTTTTGTTCCTGGCTTAGAGTCCGGCCGGGCGGGATGCGCACAATGGCCAGCGGATTTCCGCCGTATGGCTGCGAGGTGAAGACATCCACGGTCACGAAGTCGAGCTGCGAGGAGGACGCCATGGCCAAAGTATCTGGAATGACAGATTGATAGTTGGTGTTCAGCGTTGCTCTGACTTTGTAAATACGTGGGCGAGATGACTCATCAATAGACCTGCATGCTGCACCGCAGGATTTCGCTACCACGCCCTACATGTCACATAGATTCTACATTCCAATTCCAATCCCTCCTATGTGATTTCAAATCCCTCTCGCCGTGTGTGTTCGCCGTTCATTCTGATGGAGGTCTTGGTGCAGCTTGGAAGAATGGTACCAGGGACAGCCCGCCAAGCAGACCGAGGTTGTGCATCTAGAAGGCCACGTGAGGTGCGATGGCGTCGGTATCTGCCATGCTCAGGAGCACAGCCCTTTGCATCGGTCTTGGCAGTATTTTCTATCTCCGAAGGTGAGGCTGCGGTCGTGAGGCTGTGCAGTCGCTGCGCGAACACCATCCAAGGATCACTAGCTCGCCGTTACGTGTCCTTCCGGCTTGCCCGAAGAAGTACCTGAGGCGTGGCCGAGAGTACTGTAAGGTCAACCCTACCTCATGCATGCTATGATACAGCAGTGTACCTGGCTATAGTAGTATCTCCAAGCTGTCATGTCAGGAGGTTTGAACTTGCCACATGGGGCAATGAGGAAGCTGAGTTGTGGTACTTCCCTCGGCGACTACGCACTAGCTGTCCGCGCGACGACCGTGTCACGGAGAACAGCGAGAGTGGAAACCTCCGCAGAAAACCTGATGAGATGATCGCAGAGTCTTGGGGGTTGAACCAAACTTGAGAACACCAGAATGGCTTGCATCTTCGATTCCAGATCAGAGGCCGACTACGCCACCAGGAGAAGGCATGACTACATGGCTGGCCACAGCAAGGGACTGATTTGAAATTCCACACCCTGTTTGCTTCAGCTGCCCCCCGTGTGCGTGGCGGCGTGAAGTCGATCTTCAATGCGCATGAATGTTGTTGCAACGATGGTGTTGCTTCCCAAAGGGGAAGCAATTTTGGGCCGCAACGAATGAGACACTGCAACGTTAGGTGTGGAGACGAAACGGGGGATGCTGGCCACGGTCTGCCCAGGTGCGAGCAGATCGACGCGGAGATTATTTTCAACGGTCTTTATCGATTCGTACAAACGCATCCTGGCATTGTTGTGCTAGCTGCGTTTGTTCCTGCGCGGCTGTGGGTTGTTGAGGAGAACCACCGGCGTTTGTACCCGCGGCTGAGTGGCCTGTGAGGAGATTGTCAGACGGTATGGCGTCAAAGGTCAGCGCAAAGGGACCAACAGCTCGTCAATCTGGCGATGTGCAGTACGATCGCACAGCTTCGATCGATGAAATGAGTAATCTCGGCTCGTGTAACGATGGGGTTGCCCTCGGCCTCGCAGTGTGTGGTCTGCAAGCGAGGAGGAGCACTGATGCTAGTACACAAGACTGCTAGGAGTCAGGACGATCCTTTGCGTTACCTTTACGAGTCCGATCTCGAACGCGTACATGCTGCTGCACCGCGGCCCAAGGCCATGAGCATGCAGTCTACACCTGTTGGTACCTTAGGTATACTCGAGGGGCCTCAATCACATGCATCGGAATCTGTCCGACGGCAGCGGGCGAGATTTCCACCCATCTCCTAAATCATAGTGTGCGGAAGCAAGATTTTGACATGTCAAGCGCGTCGCGTTGTTTGTTGACATGCGATAGCAGGCGCTGTTATGGTGCTTTTTTGTGATATGAGCAATCTTTTATCGGAGCTGCAAACACCCCACTCGGCTGCAGGCTTGCACAACGGGGGCAGGGGCCGTGAGCGGTGATAAGTTCGCATGGCTGCAGCTCCGAGTCTGCAAGGTACATCGCGTTTGCGAATGTGCGAGCTCAAGGATACGAGTCGTGAATCTAGGCTACAAGAGCCAAGTTCAGAGGTTTCATCGTCAACGGGCCTGCCGCGCCGCATCCTCATCGCTACACATTGCCACAATATTGTCGAGATGACGCGGATCATGAGGATTCGGGTTAGGTTCGTGAACATCCAACTTTGCCATGTTTCTGTGCCTGAAGGTTGGGTTTTGCATTGCGAGGTCAAAATGCCGATGCAGGCCCAACCCTGTCCTCTGACAGTTGCAGCTACGGCGACGTCCTTATTGGTAGTGCGGAAGAATCGAAAATGGGGTTGCATGTGCATGTGCATTCTGCAAGGTCCAAGTGCTCTCGAGGGGACATGCATCGGCACCCAGGATGATGCGGTCGAGTCCCAAGTGGAGACTGCATCGTCGGTGAATTGAGTTAGGGCGGCGCAGAGTTCGCGTGCGGTTGGGCAGACGCAGCACGATTCAGAAGCCACCAGAGCAGACCTCGGAATGTCGACAGCGGCGGACCCTTTGCGGCCAGGATCAGCCTGTGCTCTGGTGCTTCTCCATGTTTTGGTTCGACCATGGTACTGCTGTTGGCGCCCTGAGAGTGACGTCTCAGGGTCCTCAGGGGACGGCCGGAGATGCACGTCGTACCAGCGCGACTGTGAGCATAGCGCGAGGCGACGATTGGGAGCAACTGTGCCAGCTGTGCCTGACTCGGGGCGGGGTCGGCAAGCCTGACGCACTCGAGCTGAAAGGCGTTGCTGTGAGATGGCTAGGCCGTCTTGGTCGTGGTTCTCGGGGAAGCTGGAAGCCCCTGTCACTGACGCCACTCATGCAAGTGCGAAAGCGACCATCACGGGCCCTCGCTCAGGGATCATGAGAAGAAGCGTTGACTAGAGCAAACGCAAAACCCTTTCTGTATACCTACCCGACGTCTGCCCGTTCCAGCCCTCTGCGATCGTCTGCTCCTCATAACCCCGTCCTACACCACCACTGCCACTTGACCCTGCACCGCTGTGTTTGTCCTTCTTTTTTGCTTACCGTGCTCATAACCGCCTGCCCCGTCGCACACTGCAACGCCGACCACACTGGACTTTCCACCATCAACCTTGCCTGGAGCGACTCGACGTATCACCATCTGCCTGCACGTCCGCACTGTCTGCTGTGCTTGATATCCTGCCTCTCCGGTCGCGCCTTCCTTTCTTCTCGTCAAAGCTACGACCACCCCACCAAACCCCACGCGCCGCCCGCTAGCCCATCTCCCCCGGGCCGCCTTTTCTCCTCGTCAACACCCTCAACTCGCTTTCGCTTCTCGGGGATCGCATTCCGCTCTTTGCTTTTCTGCGATACGCGCAACTCTAGCGCTGCGCCATCGCCGGGACCCTTCGCATCCACACGCCACATCTTTCACGTGCTCTTCAAAATGGCATCAAATCATTCCCGGAGCGCGTCGGACGAGAACCACAACTCAATGGCATACATTCTCGAACACGTATTACAGTACCCTGGCAGCTACGACATCCCCCTCAAGACCATGTACGAGCTCAACCGCGTGGACCGCGCCCAACCCATCCCCAAGAACTACACCAAGTCGGGCAACACATCACCAATTTCCAGCTCATTCGCATGGAACACCACAGAAGCTGCGACCATGAGCTTCACCTCGTCGTTGATGAACCAGCTCAAAGCGTTACCCACACGGACCAGCGCACTGCCACCCGCCTTCATCGTAAACTTTGTGACCCGCACCTTCATGCCCGAGCCAGCTGATGTCGACTGGAGCCAAGCTTTGACTGCGCTCGACTACCTGAAAGATTTGGAGACACGACGACGCAGAGAGATGGCTACCACGTTCGAGGCCCTTGACGTCCACAGGGACACATGGGACGCCGACATGGCCCGTGTCGCTGAAAAGGCACCTGGCATCGCACTCTGGATCAACAATCTCGAAGGCAAGAACCGGAAAGCTGAGTCGTACTATGCTCAGCTATGGGTCGGGCTCCGCCGATGGGTACGTTATCTGACTTCTTTCTCACGTGATCTCAGCTAACATGAAGCAGATCATGATCAACCATCTCTCTGACGAAGAGTTCAACAAGCTCAACTGCATTAGCTACCTCAACACCCTCTTTCCTCCTGTCCATGCCCAGACCAAGCTTCCCTCGCAGTTCCTGAACCACGAAGCTCTGAAAGAAGAACGCCAGATCTTCTTCGAACTGATCAGCCAGGTGCAGAGGAGGGGACCTGATGTCTTACTTCCTCTCATCAACCGGGACAAGCGCCCGGAAGACCAGACTGGCTGGCCCACCGTCCAGAGGATCGTCGACAAGTACCTTCGCGTCGCGCAGAACATGATTCAAGACTGCATCGCTACTCACGGCCCAGAGTCATTTGATCGCTACATGAACGGACCTGGCAAAGAGAAGAAGCATGACTCCGGTGTCAGTTTTGGTTCCGAGCGCCGGCCCAGCGTACAATCTAGCGTGCACGAGAAGCAGTCGCCCGAGCCCATGCTCAGCTACACCCCGTCCATCAAGGGTCTCAGCAAACTTGAGAGGATTACTCGCGAGTTCAAGCGCATGCGAGTCAAGCCCCGGCCCGAAGTCGAAGAGATAACGCAATTCAATCAGCGGGCCGCCGCTGACCACATTCCCCAGACAGGTGCGAATGCTGGAAAGAAGTCGCTCAAAAAGGCCCGATCGCTCGCCAGCCTCAAGTTCGGCAACGGCAGCTCGGCGTCATTGGCTAGCAGAAAGGGCAGCGATGCTCTGGCATTCGACGCCGACGAGATGAAGAAGCACCGCGCGATATACGAGGCCTCGGTCAGCAAGAGCACCCACGCCCATGCGTAGACGGCGGAGCAGCTGTTCACGACGGCCTTTACGACCTCACGACGACTCGTATCACCACGAGTCAATGTAGTATGTTCACATGCGCTCACGACTCCACGGCTCATACCGCGCTATTCGGACCGATGGGCAACGCGATGCCTAGACAACATGGAGACCTGCCATCGCCGCAAAAGCATGCAGGCGTTCCGAGTCGTTTTATTAAAGTACCCCATTGTTTTCTTTTCCGGCACTGCGAAGATGTCCCGACGTCTCGCTGCCGCCGTCAGTTGTATGACCTTTCTTAGCGGGCGTTGTCAGAAGCAATACCTTCGCGGGTCAAAATTTCTA